TCGTTCGAACAGCTTTTTTAGACTATACTGCAGCTTTCGACTCTGTTCCTAGGACACTTTTATTAGGAAAGATGATTTTAGCTCAAACAGAGTCCTGGGTAACTAGATGGCTGTCTTCTTATTTTAAGGATAGGAAACAGCATACTGTTTTGGCTGGAAAGCGCTCCACTTCTCAGCTAACTGAAAGTGGTGTGCCTCAAGGTGCAGTACTTTCTCCATTTCTTTTCTCTTTCTTTTTGCATGACCTTCCGAACTCACCCATAGTTAACTTCATTAAGTATGCCGATGATCTGACCGTTTCTGTCCCTGTAGTTTCCACATCGGATTGTTCCCATATGAATGGCTTCTTAGCTGAAGTGAAGGATTGGTCTGGCTCAAATGGTCTTAAACTAAATCCAACTAAATGTAACACTGTTGATTTCAGCTTGAGAAGTGAAAAAGACATGCATGGATTGATTCAATCTCATGATTGTTGTAATATTGATGGTACCATGATAGAGAGTAAGTCAAGTGTTTCTTATCTTGGAATTAGTTTCTCTTCAAACCTTTGCTGGTCGTCTCATATTCTTATAGTTTCTAAGAAAGTTTTCCGTCTGACTTATTACATAAAGAAGTTGAGACACTCAGGTATAACTCAATCTCTTATCATACAATTTATTAATTCATGTGTTTTGCCCATCATTCTTTATTGTTCTCCATTATTCTTCCCTGGGCTACTCAAGAAAGACCATATAATACTACGAAGAACACTGAGGGCTGTAAGTAGGGTCAGTGCTATCCCTTTGACTCAACTAAATGACACTGTTGTCAATAGGCATATGAATTCTTGTAAACACTTAGCTAAAGTTACCTTATCTGATAGTGAACATCCTCCTTATTCACAATTGTTTCCTTGTATCTCTTCGGGTAAGACCAGAAGAAATTTTATAAACATTTATGCTCGTACTACAAAATATAAAAATTCGACCGTTCCATATTTGGCACGAGTATTGTGTGAAGAGACAAATATCAGAAAAGAACTTTTGCAACTTTTGAATCAATAACTAAACTATAAAATATAATGAAGCATATTATTATGCATGTGTTATTCGTTATATTATTTATTTATTATTCACTATGACCTAGAATGGTGTGATTTTGTTGGGTTTTTATTATTATTATTTTTTTTGTTTTGTTTTTTCCTATTAACTATCAATATTTTAACATTTTATACATTTATATAATTATAAACAGAGCTAAACCATTGCAATATGTAAAAGAAACGCTGAAAATTCCATGCTGTAAATTTTTATTGTTGTGGAATAAAGTGATTATTATTATTATTATTATTATTATATTAGGGAAGCACTTATCATGTTAATATCTAATTCTATTACACAATTGTGTCCCGCCATTTGTTTAACTAAGACTCTATCTGATTTATTACAAATGACACTTTTAGTCACAAGATATTGAATTCAGTCAGGTGAAAGTAAACCTGTTTTATATATGGAATCTCGGGTGCTTACCGATATCCACGCTGAAAATTCCATACTTGTACCAAAAATACGGTGTGGAATCAAGCTGTAATCAAAAATAAAAATAAATAAAACATGACTGACGGGTATGCAGGAGTTTACGAGACCTGGAATACCCTTATTCTAAACCTATGATGTATACGGACTCCAGCGTCCGAAAACACCGAATGGCTTATGAATCTGCTTTGGTCACTGTTCACCATGGGAGAGCAGATCTTAATGCTACACCACTACTGCCTCTTGGATCAAACTTCAAGTCAAAAGCTTTGGAGAGGGGATCGAGTGAAGACCCCTTAAGAGAACAACCTACTTCAGTCTTTGCAACCAGGCAGTATCCCAACCCTCTCACAAACATGAGATTTTGTGTGGCTCATCTTTTGGCATACTCATTGTATGTTTTAATGATAATATTATTATTTCCGAATTTATTTTTTATCCAGAAACTTCATTCACGATAGTCTATCATTTTTTGACAAGTGCCTACGAATCACTGCTGTAGCCTACCGATTAAATTTGCATTTATATATGCCTGTAGCTAGCCATTTTTCCAGGAAACAAGAACTATACTCCATATAGTCATCGACCTAGGTGGCTGAATTCTAATCCAAATGTCACGAGTTTGAATCCTACTCGCCATCTACAGAGGTTCGCACAGCCGGGTAGCATTATTAACCTGCACACAATAGGTGTATCCCATCGCCAGGTAGATAGAAAGGCTAGTCGTTGCTGAGTAACTAAGACGATTAGCCTCCATACTGTTAGCGGTAGTGCTGAGTCATCTTTAGTACATGTGTTAGAGATAATATTTCTGAATATGGATTCTGCTTTCGTCAATCTTTGTTTCCATTCGTCCTTACTGGATTTTCTTACAGTCTATATATTATGTAACTTCTCATCTCACACATGAGTAGTTATTGATGAACTTATTTTTCTGAATGTTATACGCCTGTACTCTTGTGAGTTGTTGACCTTTATGTAAACGTTTACACTAATTCAGAATATTTTTACTAGTGACCTTTATTATTGATTTATATAGGTAACCAGATAGTCCGCATAAGAATTTTACTACACTACATTATTTCTTTTTCTTTTTTACACTTTCTGCTTGACCTTTTAATCGTTTTTGTACTAGGCTTTAAGCGATAAAGGATTGTGTGTGTGTGCAGGTCTACAGTGCTACTTAGTTGCTCAGGTTGAAGAAGTAGGTGGACAGGAGAAACTCACATATGGAATCCGTTGGTTTAAAGCTGAGTGCTTAAATCAACTATAGACATATTATGTCCACTTCAATTGACTGAATTTGTTTCTCATTAGGCATTTTAGATGAAACGTAGTTCAAGTCCTCGTCATTTTAAGGTTTTATTGAATAGTCTCTGATGTGTCTTTCTGGTGTAGAAATAATAGCTTCATTCTTTAATAATCACATTTGTTGATTAATAGTCCATATTGAGACGATTCCCAAACTAGGGTAAAACAGTCACCTGTCCAGTACCCCCTGATTAGTTTTCAATGGTTCTTCTCTAACTAATATCAATCCGTAGTCAAACTCGTATAAACAAATCCAATCCTTACAAACCAACTATTAAAAATTAATCTGATGCTCGTTAGTGACTTGCTACAGGACGGAGTTTCCTGGAGTTCTAGTGAGAAGTCGTGACCAGTGAGGTCCATCCAGTCGGGAGTGAGGATAGAGATCCCACCGATGACATTGATTGGTGCCAGTCGCGCTAAAATCAGGAATTGGGTGGAAGTTAGAATTCATGGACTGGTCATTGAATTTCATCCCATTGACTGAATGGTCAACGAGCTCACCTCTTAACCCAACGGTTTTGGTCCCGATTCCCGGTAGAGGTCGGTAGGTGGTGTTCCAGTACACCATAGTTTTCGTTCGTCCTCTAACTGATATTGATCTGTGATCTAACTTGCAATTAAACAAGCCCCTAAAAACTAACACATTTGAAAATTCAGTTTGTAGTTTAAAATGTTTAGTTAAGGAAAGTTTTAATTTACCTTTGTTCAGTTTCTTTCTAGATTGTTTCTCTTATGTGTTTTGTGCATTTGTATAGTATTGTAACAAGAGAAGACAAGGGTCAGGTAACACATCCTTCATTAAGGAAATCAACAGATATTTATGAATTTTCATGTACATTATTATAAATTATTTAAGCAAACAAACACAGCCCCCCTGATTGGTTGTTTCTCACTGAAAGTTAATCTTTCATCTCTTTGTGGCTGTTTCTTGAGTTTCAGATCATCTATATGCTAACTGTATCCGCCTACGCAAAGTCTTTGTTCTTATTTTGCTCACGACCAATATTTGTGACATAAACATTGACGTAAATTACTGTCTACCAACTTTGACTAGCAGCCAGCTCTCACCACAGTATGATTTCGCAATTCTGTTGCTGGCTTTGTGCTTTCAAAATTTCTTCGCATTAATATTCTTCTCTATAATGAATAACGTTTTGACGATTCCGTGTAGTTTGTTCCCTGTGCATATTCTCGAAATATGAGTAAGAAAAGTATTCACACACAGTCTCTCTCTTTATGAATGTACCTATCTCTGTTCGCTATCCCTGGGACGGGATGGAAAAGGCGGAGGGATGGTCAGTCCATGACGTGGCGTCGTGGGATGAAAGATGTTTGTGCTAGATTAGCATCGGTTGGTGCGTCACGACTCCCTGGTTGGGGTCCGCGAGATAGCTCAAATCAATGGCTCGAAACGTTATGAGATATGACCAAAAATCGTAATCAATGGCGAACGTGTTGCAATTTCCTTCTTTCTTCCCTTCTCGGTGATAGTTGACGGATATTGTTTGAACTTGTTAAGCGTGGCTGTTTTCCTTCCTGATGAAGTTCTTTATTCGTTCTCCACCTATATTTTTACTTTTAGTCTATGTTGTTATATAATCATTGTGTGGCACATCTTGCAGCCATATCGTACCAAGTTTTTTTGCGTTAAATAAATAAAAAATATAAAAGACCGAATAAAAGGTTCGATATTTTGAAGTTTCCTCAGCAAATGGGCTGATTTTCTTGAGATGGGGTTGCTAGGTTCAACCTACTCTCACTTTTCAGGTCGGGGGTCGAACCGCAGACCACTTTCGGCGTGGTTGGTGAGTATTTTGCCATCGTACCATCAACGCGTCGGTGACACAGCGGTTAGGACGCTCGCCGACCATGCACATGATCCGGCGTTCGATCCCCAGCCGACGCACTCCTTTACCTCGCTAAGCCAGTAATAAAGCTGGTAAATAGAGAAGGGTGAGCATGAGGCTAGCAACCACATCCTTTAAAAACAAACACCACTGCCACAGAAACCTCAAGCCTCTAACTTGAAGTTCCCTATGTTCCACTGGGAACGTGAAGGAATAAAAAAACCCATCAATGCATGATCAGAAATTTATTACTGCCATATTTATATCTGTATTTTATTCTTCTCTTCTTTTCCAGATATTCGTCGTTTTTATCTACCGTTGAATTATGTCTCCAAAGTCAACAGCTTTCATTCATGTTGTTAAAAGATTGAGGTAAGTTTTCTCCCTTCATTCCTTCCTTCATATCCTATTACGCTTTTAGTTCATACTGGAGTAATGTTAAACTGGGACCGCCGGATGCCATCTTAGGCATAACAGAAGCGTATAATCGTGATACAAATCCGAAAAAAATCAATTTAGGCGCTGGTGCTTATCGAGATGATAATGGCAAGCCATTTGTCTTGCCATCTGTTAAAGAGGCGGAAAGAATCCTTCTGGCAAAAGATTTAAACAAAGAATATGCACCAATCAGTGGGATAGCTCAGTTCTGTGACTTGTCTATTAAACTTGCTTTGACTGAACAGTCACCAAGAATTACAGAGAAATGTGTAAGTTGATCGATTTTTTCGATCTTATTGTGTTTTCGGGATTTTCACAGTGATAAGATTGTTAAGCCTCATTGAGTTTAATTTGCGAAATATGCGACGTAGTTGTTTGATATCCAGATTAATCACTAGTTGGCATCCGTTAGAGAAGTTCTGAGAACTAACAGGGAGTACAATACAACTGTTTCGTCCTAGTTTGAGACTCTTTAGCAACGCTTATCCGTCACCCTTTGCATCGAGGATTGAATGAATCTGGGAGCTTCAGGTTGCGAGGCAGACAGGTCGATGATCTATTAATTTCAACTCCTGTCAATTGGAAATATACAGCACTGTTGCCAGTCAGTGTTTCGTTGAATTTGTCCTAAACCTCCTCCCCCCTCGACTTGGTAGACCCCGAACGGTCACGAAATCTGAGTAAAACTTGAGGCAACTTCACATTTTGTAATTACTACCATTAGTAAACAGCTTCTTCACCTCACTGAAATTTTAAGCGTATCAAAATGGGATTTTACTCATGTCAAACTATGAGCAAAGTACATTTATAATATAGTAAGCAACAGACTCTGTAAAGCTTCGAATTTAACAAAATACATTGGAAGATCCGGTCTTCGTGGATAAAAGTATTGTTATTATTGTTATTGTTTCCTTTAGTCCCTAGAGGCACATACTCCTTCAGCCGAACGTCTCCATTGCTTTCGGTTCTCTGCCAACAGCATCTGGCTCCTCTTCTTATCAACGCCTCTTCTTCCTCCTCCATGTCACCCTGTCACTGACGAATAACTCGCTGCTTCCATTCGGGTTCCACTCGAATGATGGCCTGGCTTGTGATGTCACTTACTTGATGGCTTATTTTCTCAGAGTATGGCCAATCCACTTCCATTACTCCGTGCATATTTCTTGCACAATTGGTTTCCTACTGCGTTGGTTCGCTCATTTGCAGAGATCCCTCCCTGTTGCTGATCTTTTCTGGCTGGCCATCTGATCTTAAGCGAAGTATTGAGAGAAGGCAGCTAGCTATTGATGAAGGTCTGTAGTTTGTTCGAAGTGCCCTTCGTGACGCGGCGCCAAGTCTCTGATCCGTATAGTGAGTAGCACTGACTGACTTCACATTGGAGTTGAAAATCTGGATCTTATTTTTGGTGCTGAGTGTTGAGTGTTGATCTCCACACAGACTTGAGTGTAATAAAAGCTTGCGTTGCTTTCCCGACCCTCACTTTGATGTCCTCATCAGTCCCGCTTATAGTTGGTAGAGGAAGTTGCTTCTTTCAGATTTCTCCTATTTATTCTGATTGTTGTCTGTTGTTGTTGTTGCTGTTTCTATTAGCCAGGAATCTTCATCATCTCTGTTTTCTCTACATTCACCGACGCTGCGCCATCAAAAGCCTTTTCAAAATCGAAGAAGTTGAGATAGAGAGTTGACTTCCATTCCAAGCTCCTTTCAATGATGATCCGTAGTGTTGCGGTTTAATCGATGCATGACTTGTTTCTCCTGAATCCAGCCTGTTCCAGGCGAAGGTTTTCATCCAGGGTGGCGTGTTTGATTTTCTCTCTAGGATAATGCGGCTTAGTATTTTACTTGGGATGGACAAGAGCATAATGCTGCGCCAGTTCTCCCTTGTTTGGCAGTTTTAATAAGTAGCCTTTCTTCTAATCTGCTGGTACCTTGCCCTCTTTCTACACCTTTTCCAGTAGTGCTGCCATCGAGTCTGTTGATGTCTCGAGGTCTATTTTCAGTGCTCCTGCTGAGATTCCGTCTGTTCCTGCTGCTTCTCCAGTTTTTATTTATATTTAGTATCTAGATTACCTTCAGGATTCCTGTTTTCGTCAGAGAGTTGATGTCCACTGATAGTTCTGCTTCCGCTGCTGGCATTATTGGGCGCATTGTAGGTGGTAGTCGAAAATCAAAAAAATTGCCAGAAGAGACAAGCAGTGAAAACAGTACTTTAAGTGAATATCAAGAAGCCAGAGGTGATGAAGATATTTAACCAAGAGCAAAAGACACCATCACCCTCTAAGGGAGAAATTAGAACAATATCGCCACTTTCACGTTGATACGTATCCACATATATATGTGTGTGTATGGTAATCTCTCTTTCTCTTGCTCGCTTAGTCTGTGACCATTTCACTTGTATGAACTTGTCTCCTCTAACAATCTATATTCTCCTTATATTATATATAATATAATATGAGTGTTTGTTGACAGTCCGTTGCTTGGTGACAGATATCCATATTATATGTGTGGTTGTTGACATGTCTGCTATATTTTGCTATGTATATATGGATCGATACTTCATTATAATTAGCCATTCATGTTAAGACTGTCCATTGATTTGTTCACACACTTGTCTGGACATTCATATATATTTCGCTCACACAATCTTGTGTGACCACTTTGGTGTGATACCACACTTTTGCATTCTCCTTGTGTTTGGAAAATAGAAGTATCATCGCAAACCTAGTGGTCTTCTGATTTCCGCCTTCTTTCGTCAGGACTATTAGTTTCTCGACCAGTACATAAAAATAATTTGGCGACGAGAACATAACACACATATCTACAGGTGGCACGAATAAAAATATCAAAGCCAGCTGGGGATCATAAGAGTATAACAGACAGGATTCGTTTTGTCAACATTATTGTCAAATCAATCAGTGTTTTTTTTGTGATCCAGAAACTTGGCTTACGCGTCACAAAACTGTATTTCCGATAGGCTGCTGCAGAGGTTTACTAACAACTATCTTCTATGGCTCAATAGTCAAGATCAGCTGGTCGGCCAGAAAGGGTGGACAACAAGAATCTCTGGTACATAACGATTCAATCAGGAATTTATTGTCCAACAACTACAGAGAAGGACTGACTGACTGACTGGTTTAAACGTAGAGCTTTGCACCAATGTGCAGCAGTTCAAGTCGCCACACTTCACTTAGCACACAAAGCAGGAGAAGAAAATAAAAAGAAATGCAAAATAGAGACAGTAAACAGAAGATATCAGGCAAAAACAATAGTATTGAATTGAATTTTTTGATTTTCCCGTCGATTGATTGGACCGAAGTGCTCGGTCTCAGGTTGACATGTCGGCTTCTTGTGCAGATGCTTCGACGATGTCTGGGTATTTAATTAGTATACAATTGGTGGATGGTGGCTAGCAGTGGACTCCGGGATGCGCATTTCGTCCTATTTGGGACTCGTCAGCTGGATGTACCTGCATTTCTCAGTGAGTGATGATGTTCCCACCGAGGCTCGAACCCAGTACCCATAGTTTCGAACGCCAAAGCGTTATCCACTAGACCACTTGGATTCCACTGCTAGCCACCATCCACCAATTGTATACTAAAAACAATAGTAATATGGAAGAACCTTATAGTTTTATTGGATAGTATAAGTCATAAGGAGTGGGTGGATCTGCGCTTGCGCCAGCCACTGAGAACGATTTTGAGCCATATCACCAATTGTCTCCAACCATTGATGTTTACAGTTCCGAGGACCCCAACCAGTCACTCAAGAAGTCTACACTTCCCTATGTGGCTGGCTGGCTTAGACTAACTGTTGTGGATTTCATTGAAAGATAAGGCCATGTTTTGGTTTGAGCACCACTAACTGGCTCTTTTGCGACCTGATCCATCCTATGTCAACTAACATTGTCCGTTGTCGTGAAAGGCGATGGATTGTCAGGCCTGCATGCGTAACACATGTCCTAACCATCTCAATCAATGTAACCTCACAACCTGGTCTACTGATTTCCCCTGCCTCCTTAACTAGCAGTCGACCGATACCTAACCTCACTACTGCTCACCTTATTATTAATCCAATAAACACAGGAGATAGAACGTAGACATCTGTGATCAAAGACAACTAGGCGGTCTTTTCATGTCTACCACTTTCAATAGCCATGTCTCATTTACAACCAGCTATAAAGAAGGACGGCTGAGCACTAAACACGCCCGATACCCTTAAGCCATCTATGGCTTAAGGTGGCAGGCAAATTCTAAACGAGCCTTCTGTATGCGTACTGAGATTTCGTGAGCTATCAACCCGCTCGCGTTGGATGATGCAAATCCCCAAATCAGTGAAGTGGTGAACATGCTCAAAAACCACCTCACTTCCTACGTCTAAGCTGGAAGTCGATATAGTTCAGTCCTGTAGCATCATCTTATATGTGGCGGGAGTGAATCGCATGCCAAACATTCGAAGATTGTATCTGAAGGTATTCATAATACTCTGCTGCATTTTGTCAGCGCCTTCACCTATCATCTGCATATTCTAGGTGAACGAGGTTATCCCATGATGGTAACAAGTCAATCCCTGAGTCGCTAAAATCTGTCCATTAGTACATCTCTGGTGAATTTGAATAGAAATAGGGACAGTGTGCATTCCTGACGGGCATCACTGGTTGTGTCATCACTTCAAATGAAAACTCACCTTAAGCTCTTACCTGATTGAATACGTTCGAGTAGAGTTCCTTGATCAGTTCAATGTATACAGAGGTGGACTGGATATAGACTGGAGAGCTCGTTGAGTGACATCGCCCACCAGCTCATCGGTCCAGTAGTGTTGATCCGACGTTGATGATATACAGAAGATGACAGCCGGATGACAAAGGATCAGCAATCGTGGATCCAACTTAAAAACGACTGGTTAAAGGATTTCATCATGAGCTGACATCGGTTAGAGAACCATTGGAAAACCTGCAAGGAGCACTGGACAGCCGTTTTGTCAGCCTACTTTTGAGACCCTTCAGCAGTAGACCCCCTCTACAGGGGTTCGAACCCAGGATCTTCTGGTTACAAGGCCAGTTAGCTCGTCGACCATTAAGCCACTGAGATCCAATCCAATGACCAGTCGATGAATTCCAACTTCTGCCAATTCACGACATAGCGCGACTGCTAGCCAATGTCTTCGGGGGCGAGTATTTGTCCTCACACCCAATTTACTGTACCCTACTTATCAAGACTTCCCCCACTAGAACCTCAGGTACCTACCTACCTACCTCCTGGAATAGAGCCAGCTGCTAGTGAGTATCAGATCAATCAACCAGGACGAAACAGCTGTCTAGCACTTCATGCAGGCGTTCCAATGGTTCTCTAACCGATGTCAGCTCATGATGAAATCATTTAACTAATTAATAATAATAATAATAATAGTCAGAATTGTAATGTTTTTTGGTTCAGTGGTCACAGTTAGCTCATATAATCACAATGTAATTTTTTTTATTTTCCTTACGAATTCTTCATTTAGACTGCCACTGTACAGACAATATCTGGAACTGGTGCCCTAAGAATTGGTGGAACTTTTGTGGTAAGTATTAATGCTCATTTCACTTGTTGTTGTTTTTTTTAATACATGATAATTACTCTTAAATTATAGAATGAGTTTGCTGAACAAAAGCATATGTGGATGCCAACGCCTACATGGGGTAATCATAAACCAATTTTCATGTATGTTTAGCCAACGTTTTCTTTATTACTTATAATAATATATATATATATATATATATATATATATATATATATATATATATATATATATATATATATATATGATGAAATGATTTAGTTTTGAAGAGCTTTTGGTATCTGTGTGTGTGCGTGCGTGAGTACGTATTATTATTATTATTGTTCCCTTGGGTTCCTAGTGGAACATGGAACTACATGTCTCCACTTGCTTCTGTCTTCCTGCTGCTGTACTTTTCACCTGCATCCATGTTCACCATCCATACAGTTCCAACTCCTCTTCACACGATCTCCTGCATATCACCCACCCTTGCTTGCACTGACGTCCCACTCGCCGCTTCCCTTTGGGCCTGGTTCCACTCGAACAATGGCCTGATGCGCGTGCGATGTCACACAACGGCCTCCTCCTCAGCGAGTGTTCAATGTGTCATCTCCACATTCTCCTGCATATTTGTGTTATGCTATCGATTGGTTTTCGTTTTGTTTGTTTGTTCCCATAATTTCTTGTAGGTGGTGATTCTCTCCGGCTCGGCCCGGCCATCTGATCTTCAGTATAGAGCCAGCGAAGACGGTTGTTGTTGTTGATAAAGGTGTGAGTTAGCCTGTTGGTTAGAAATATTCTTTGTGACCCGCCCGCCAACTTTCTGATCCGTTCCGTATAGAGGAACTCACTGACTTGACGTTTGTTTGTATTGAAAATCCGACGGAATTTTATTGTTGATGCAGGCTGAGTGACGAAGATTTCCAGATTGGTTTCAGGTTGATGATGTTGATGTGTTTCTCGCCTTCCCGATTCTCGCTGGATTTGACATCGTCGTCCGTTCCGACTTCGTGTAGTTGAGACAATGCTCCCTAGATAAGTGAGTGAATGAAGTGACCTCTTTCAAATCCCTCCCGTTGATAGTGATTGTCGCTAGATGTTGTCACTGTTGTTGTTGTTGGTTGGTTGGTTATTTTCATAACATCCGTCTTGTCTATGTTCACTTGGAGTCCTGTCTTCGCCGGCTGCTTCTTCGACCAGTTTGTCGATTCTCATTTGTAAGTCTTCGATTTTGTGTGACATCAAGCATAAATCATCGACGCGCAAAATCCAGGTCTTCTAGGTTCTTCACGTCGGTTCAGGATATCCCTGTCTGCGTGCGTACGTATTAGCATTTATTGCGTAACACTGTAATCTCCTAATGATTAATTATATAGTGACTAGATGATGCCATTTGAGGTGCATTCGGTGGCTCATTGATAGAATTTTTGGTCTGCCCACTACACCGCATGTCATTTGGCGTTCGATTCGATCCTAAATGTTGTCTAGTTTACTAATCAGTGAGTAAAATCAGAGAGGATGGAATGTTGTGCAGTTGGACTAATCAATCCCACCCTGTATAGTTGAAGAAACCACCCCACTTCTCCCCAAAACTTCTAAGCTGAAGTCCTTCATTGATATAAGTATAAAACTTGAGCACTGTAGTGGTAGAGTATAGCTCCATTATGGATAAGATTTTATTTTGATAAATCACAGTGGTGTTATACAGTAAGTAATATTTACTGATGACCATGTTTCGAGCACAAATTATTGTCACTCATAATCATATCAAGTCACTGACTCACACAACTTTCTTGCTTCATTTATATACACGAGTGGAATTGAGGATTAGACATTTGAATAAAAATCAATGTGGGATAATCTACATTCAGGAATAATAGTATGAGTTTTATCAATCAAATACAATCAGATGGGAAATAAGACGAGTGTTTATATAGTCAAAATAAGTAACTGGTTAGAATGTTATAATGTACGTGAATTGGAATAGAATTTCTAGATCATTTATTATCCTCCTCTGATTCGACTGACTGATTGGTGTTAATAATATCTTCCATATTATTTCTAGTATTTCCATTGAGTCATTTCTGTTGCATGTGTTGGGTGTGTAGATTCTTTCGATGAATTCAGGATTCAGTAATCAATCTCTCTCTCTACCCATATAGATTACATCTTAGAATCTTAACCTTCTGCCACCCTATTGTGTGGTTGTGTGTTAGTGCATGCAGTGCAATGTAGTGCTGAGTTCTATTCTAAATTACTTATCTTCTCGGGGTCAACCATTCCTACCTTAGCTAAATTCTTATGTTCTGACAATCCGATTACCCCGATCTACTAGTTTTGGTCTATATAGTTGACCTCACAGTTCCACTGAGAATATAAATGACTGAAGTGGTATAATAGGTTAAGCAATATTGAGGTTGGACATCGGTCGAACGCTAGGCTAGGTAAGGAGGGGAAATCAGTCGATAAGGTGATTGTGAAGCAGCTATATCGGTTGAGGTGGTTACGACATGTGCTACGCATATGTTCTGTCCAGCCATCGGCTTCCTCGACAACAATGGGCAATGTTAGCTGACTGACATAAAATGGATTCATTTGGAAAGGAGCCAGCTAGTGGTGGTCAAACCAAAACCTGGCTTCATCAGTCATTGAAATCCAGCACAGTTAGTTTAAGCCAACCACATAGGGGGGTGTGTAGACTTCCTGACTGACTGGTTGGGGTCCTAAGGATGGTAAAAAGCAGTGAAAATTGGAGACAATTGTTGATATGGCTCAAAATCGTTCTCAGTGATGGTGCAGAGATATATTCAATCTTTTTGACGTATGATATCCAGTAAAATCTACATTGTTCTTCCATATGACTATTCCTTTTGTCTCATGTTTCTGCTTATTATCTCTTTTTTGAATCTCTTTGTACTCTCCTTCTCTTGCTCTGTGTGCTAAGGGAAGTGTGGCGACTTGAACTGCTGCTCATCAGTGCGAATTTCTATGTTCTGTCTCTGTCTGGATTCAACATAGAACTTGGCACCGAAGTGCAGCAGTTCGAGTTGCCACGTTCCAAATAGCACACAGAGGTAGACAAGAAGATGAGTGAAGAGAATTAATAGAGTTTGAAACAAGTCAGTCAGTCAATCAAATGATCGTTAGTGACTACTGACTACAGGACGAAGTTATATAGAGTTCTAGTGAAAAGTTGTGGCCAGTAGGCACCACCAGGTCAGGTGTGAAGACAAATAGTCGCCAATGACATATTGGCTGGTGTGCCAGCCACGGTAAGAGCACGAATTGGTCGAAGTTGGAATTCATGGGCTGGTCATTGGTTCGGGTTCCAGTGACTAAATGGTCTACGATCTCGCTAGCCTTGCAACCAGAAGGTCCTGGGTTCGAACCCTGATGGTGGGTGCGTACTGATGGAGAGTCCCAAACTAGGCTGACGAAGCAGCTGTCCAGTATTCCCCTTAGGTTTTCCAATGGTTGAGGTCGTAGGTGTACACTTCTGAAGAGTCTTAGAATCGGACGAAACAACTTTTTTAGTCCTCCCTGATGTTGGTTCATGATGAAACGTATATCCCTCTTGCTTTGTTTTTTTGTTTTGCTTTCTTTTCAATTGTCATTAAATATTTTAAATTTAATTTGTATCAAATGTTTCTCGATTTTTGCACTTCTATTTTTTTTTCTCATCTTCTAGGCAAAGTGGATTAAACGTTCATCAGTATCGTTATTATGATAGTAAAACGTGTGGTTTTGATGTAGATGGTTGTTTATCTGATTTATCAAAAATTCCTAAAGGACATTTTGTTCTACTTCATGCATGTGCACATAATCCAACTGGAGTGGATCCCTCTTTTAATCAATGGCAAAAAATTGGGGATATCTTAAAATCACGGGATTTAATACCATTTTTCGACTGTGCTTATCAAGTAAGTTGAAAAAGGGTGAGCACCCTTTGTATTATGTTGTATTTTTTGAACTGTTTTATTGATTAATTATGATCATGAACTGACGACTGACTGAGGTCAGTTAAAGTGTAACAGCAAAAGACAAGGGCCAGGCAACAGATCGTTTACTTAGAAAATCAACAGGTATTTTTATATATATATATATATATATATATTATTATTATTATTATTAGCGTTATAGTTAGGAGAGAGGTGGCGTCTTGTGATTGATTGTTTTTCTGCTGAAGGTTACTGTATCATCTCTTTGTTGTCGTTTCGTAGACAGTCCTGTGATATATCTGCGGATCGTATCCGCCCACGCTAAGTCTGCTGTGACTGGGTTGTTGAACTCCTCAAGGTTAAGGGCTGAGATACTGCCCGGGCGCCCAGACCGAAGCAGGTGGTTTTCTTAAGGGACCACCTCCCGAGTCTTTGACTTGGAGTCTAATCCGCAAGGCAGCGGAGCAGCGTCAGGAGCTGCGTCCCCATGGTTTCCGGTGACCCATATGGGTTCATACGCCATTTGATCCGATTAGATTCTGGAGCCGATGTACCCCATGATAGCTGCTTTTAGTCTAACCGCTATCCAAACAACCTTCCTGACATGGTAGGACCTGCAGGAACGTGAATCCCAGCCAGTTTAGCTTGTTGGGTCACTGCGGTATCCAAGCCTGACCACCACGGCAAGGTAGCAGTTGTCGGCCGGTCGCCTACAATTTTGTCTTCAGATAGCTCTCACAACACGTCGTTAGTCAACTATATAGCGAGTATGGTTCATTTGCTTAGTGGTACATAAGGAGTTTATTCTGGGTTATTACCTAATAATGTCCAATCAAAGCATTCATTACAGTCCTCAAAGGAGGTCAGTCAATCGCAAGCCTGAATTGTTCATTGGTAACACCATCTCTGACTGACTACAAGCAGCATTGGATGATTCGGGTTCAAATCATACAAGGAACATCGTTAGTTTTCTTTTTTTCAAGATTGTAGACAGGCTTTGTTGAATGGCGAGAATGCCAACATACACAAAATCTAGAGGTGTTAGACTAGGCTAGGCTTCCTGACGCCTGCCTCCAAACATCTAGCAATAAAAGATTTACAATTGAGGTACATTTAGGTGTCTGTTCCGAGTAAACTGACAACAAAAAAAAGCAATATAGTTCGATTGAATGCGCGAAATAAAGGGTGAACAACTTGTTGACCAATTGTTCTCAGGTGGGGCCAAACACAGAGAATAACGACTATAGAGTGTGAACTCATCACAATGACCTTGAGCGTTGCATGCCCTTCGTTTGATTACAAAATCTGCCAATGTGAGCGCTGTGCATGAAATGTAGTGCAATTTCACCTTGATCTCGTCTTTAAGTACTCTGTTATGACAATTGAGTTGATAGGACGTTAGTTGTTGTGTCTAGGATTAGGGTTAGTATCCAGATGAGGGTTAAGGTAAAGATCAAAGTTGGGATGTTTTATTTTAATCGTTATTATTATTATTATTAATATTATCTGTGCTTTTCTTGTAAATAAATATATAGGGGGAAAGTACAAATGTGAAACCGTTTTCTGATAGCTATGAAACTTGAAGATTGATATCCTTCTTTGTAATCAACATAATGATTATTCCCTTGGGTTCTAAGTGGAACATATTGGGCTTCAACAACACATCTCCATTTTCTGCTATTCTCTGCCCTCCTTTTCAGCTGACTGGTTCCACGGTTGACCATAATCTAATTATCTCCTCCGCCTACCCTGTCTGTCTGTCTGGATTCAACATAGAACTTGGCACCGAAGTGCAGCAGTTCGAGTTGCCACGTTCCAAATACCACACAGAGGTAGACAAGAAGATGAGTGAAGAGAATCAATAGAGTTTGACAAATATAAGAGTGAAACAGAATGGGTAATGGTAGAAAGGAATATGAAAGATTACATAGATTGAATACATCTGCGCCATTGACAACGATTTTGAGCCATGTCAGCTATTGTCTCCAGCCATTGATTCCTAGAGTCCCGAGGGCCCCAACCCGGGAGTCTGCATCTCCCTACCTGACTCAGTTTAACTGTCAAGGATTTCATGGATTGATGAGGCCATGTTTTTGTTTGGCCACCACTGGCTCTTTTCCAACCTGAACCTATATCAGCTAACAATGCCCGTCGGGGGAGGCGGTGGTTAGACATGCGCAGCACGTGACCTAGCCATCTTAGTCTATGTAACTTTATAACCTCGTCGATTGATTTTCCCTGTTTGCCCAACACTCTACGCCTAACATCAACATTACTTATCTTGTGAAACCACCTAACGTGAGACAGAGATCGCAGACATCTATGATCGAAAGCAGTCAACCGCCTACCCACACGATTTCCACCATGTCATCGTAGCACTGATCATCCACTCATCGCTTCCTATTTGGATTCCACTCGAGCAATGCCATACAGTATTACACGATGTCATTCGATGGTCTTCTCAGCTTATGGCCATTCCATCTTTTCATTTTCTCCTACCTACTTGTTGAACAATCGGCTCTCGCTTGTTGGTTTGTTCTACTGTAAAGTTTCTTGTTGGTAATTCCTTTTGGCTAGTCATTTGATGTTGAGTATAGAGCCGGTAGTGGTGGCAACTATTAATAAGATTCTAAAGTGACCTGTTGGAAATCCTTTTCGTGACACATGTAGTGCAAGTTTCTGACCCGCATAGAAGAACTGACTAACTGACTTCACATTTGTGTTGAACAGAATCCAGTGTGTGTGCGGTGTGCAGAAGATTTTCAAACTGGTTTCAGGTTGATGAAGGCGTATCTTACCTTTCCAATTCTGACTTTTGACATCTCTATCCGTTCCGTCTGTAGTTGAAAACGTGCTTCCTAGCCAGATAATTGAAGGAAGTCACCTCTGTCAAATCTCTATCGATGATGGTGATTGGTGCTGGTTATTGTTGTTGCTGTTGATTGTCTGGCTATCTTCATCGGGTACGTAGGGATTTGGGTAAATTACTCTTTGCCTTGTAGATGACTTTAAAGGCGGAGGAGGCTATAGAGATAGAGTGATCATTATCGACCAGATGTTCAATGATCGCGCTTCCTATTTTATATTCTTTTTCTCTCCTGATAGGGATTCGCTTCTGGGGATATTGATAATGATGCTAAAGCGATTCGTTATTTTGCTAATGAATTAAAATTTCCAACTATGTTGCTTACACAAAGTTTTGCTAAAAATATGGGCCTCTACGGTGAACGTGTTGGTGCTTTTACACTGGTGTGTTCATCTGCTGAAGAAGCTGAAAGGTGTTTATCACAGATTAAGATAATTATTCGACCAATGTATAGTAATCCACCAATACACGGAGCTCGTATCGCTGCTGAACTAATGTCTAATCAAGAATTACGTCGAAAATGGTAAGATGCTTTTTATTGATCTCTTGGTGATAATAGTAATCTTTTTTTTATTCCTTCACGTTCCCAGTGGAACATAGGGCGGCTTCAAGCTAGAGATATAAGAATAAAACTTGTGCACTGTAGTAGAGTGTAATTCCATTCATAATCATATCAAGGTGATATGATATGATTATGAGCAATAAATTGTGCTCGAAACGTCATCAGTAAACATTACTGTATAACACTGTGAGACTTTATCAAAACAAAATTTACCCATAATGGAGTCGAACCTTGATATGTTGTAGTCATATGATATCCGCTTTGTTTGCCAATCTGATATGGTTTGCTCTATGTGTCTATTGATCGTTGTTAATTTGTAATGACTCACAATCTATCTTGTCCGTTTATCAACTAAATAAACAATGAATGACCCTGGTCACATGATATTACAGCCAATTAGAATCCAGTTGGCGGAAACAAAAACGACTTTATCTATCTTATTGATTCATATACACAAAAATAAGTTTAATAAGTTTGAATCAGGTATTTAGAAGACAAATTTCACAAGATGATATGGTCATTTCGTAGTTTCTTTACAACAACCGCTTAACAACTAACATGGTTAACAATAATAAAATAAAGCTCATGACAAGTACTCAGTTAAATAAAAAACAAAAGTACATACTAATGACCAATCATATTTAAATAGGTCAAGTAGTCAGTCCATGGTAGGCGAAGATTGAAGTCTATTGTGTTGTTTTTGTACACATAGTTTAGGCTGTATGTGATTAATCTAACAAAGTGCTTCCATCACCTTCAATAACCTTCAATCAGAGGTATGTGAAATAATTGTGAAGCATTCATTAATATTGATTTTGTGACCTGAAATTATTAAGTGATTTGCAATGGATGATACTGGATTTCTATGCTTTAATAACTATGTTGTAACATGTTCTTTTCGACGACCACGATATTGGAACATTCTATTGGTTCTACCTTTATAGATGTCACCTCAACAAATACAGGTGAACTTGTAGTTACAGTTTGACGTAGAGTGTACAGAATTTCGTGCTTTAATCCTAGGTACATGGATCGAAGATGTTTGGCATGTAAGGGAAAGAGATGTGGTGTAGAATGTGCTTTTGATGGCTGACCGAAGTGTCTTTGAGCTAGCTGTCAAATGAATAATTTGATCACCCTCGAATAGTAGGTTGTTAATAAAGATAGCTTTCTTTAGTACAGAAGCTGTCTTTTCTAGATGTGGCCTATTCTTACTGTGATAAGTGATAAAGTTTTCTGGATAACCATTAGCTAATAAAACTGGATGTATATGTCGAAACTTATCCATCAATGTGTCACTCGTGCATATTTTTCGGGCCCTTGAGAGCAGACATTTCACTAAGGAACTTTTATACTGGTGAAATGAGGATATTTTCCCCTCCATGTATATTTACGTAAAATAGATCTCTGAATCGTTCCATCATCTCTCCTGGTCATTGAGATATTCAGGAAACCGAGTTTGTTATTCGATTCGAATTCGGAAGTCACTCGGATATTTGGATGAATATGATTAAAATAGAGTAGTAACAAGGTTTTCAAAAGACTTAGTATTATTACTAATAATGAGAGTGTCATCCATATAACTTTTGTATAGCATGAATTTTCCTAGCATACCTTGCATTAACTTCTCCGATTTCGATATAAATATGTCTGCTAACAGGGGCCCAAGAGGGCTAAGCATCGCAACACCATCGCGATTTGTTTGTATGCCTTTTCTTGGAAGGTGAATCTGATATTTCCTGTACACATTAAGATGATGTCTCTGATGTAGGTGACAGGAATAGGTAAGTTTATCCCGTTGTTTGTGATGTAATCGCAAATGTGAAATCAACAGTTTCATGAAGAGGAACATTGGTGGTGAATAAAGATTCTATTTCGACTGAACACATAACCTTTTCCTTAATGTTCAAGGTGTCTAGCATATCTGTCAGATCAAATGAACTTTTTACAGAATGATTTGATAATGAGTCTCTTACAGGACTAAGGACCTCTGTAATGCATTTTGCGATTTTATGATATAGAGAATTCGACATATCTAAGATGTTCATATTTTCTTTATACTATTTAACTGTACAATTGGTTGACAGTATTTCATTCACACTTTTGTGTGATAGTTAATTTTCTTTCGTTAGCGTGTGGGTCTTCTAAATTTACTCTTCGCGTCAGGGAAATTTAACTGCTAAGCAATATCAGTCGTTCTGTCGTCGTCCGTTGTATCTCATCAAGAACACAATATTCATCGAAGAGACTCTCTCCAACAACGAATTTATTATCAAGCTGTACAATCGCATATATATACCTATGGTTTTTAAGAAATTATATCCGGTGAGGGAATTTGGTCAAAGGTGTGAATACATGAAATAATAATAGTAGTAGTATGAAATACAATTAAATTATTTGTGATTATAATCATAGTTAAATGTCAAATAGCAAAACAATTAATGTCATGTGTGGAATAATATATCAGGTGTATAGACATTGGAAAGGGGTACATAATTATAGGATTAGTAGGCGAATATAAAATGTTACATAACATGGTGTGAAATTTGATACGATAGAATTTAATATTGTAAAAACAAAAGAGATTAATAATTTTGGATTTAGAATGACATGTGGGTCGAGTGGAAAATATTCAGAGTGAGAATAGTAATAATAATAAAAATAATCGAAGTAATAAGGGAAAGGTACATAGAATAACTAAATAAACAAAATACCTAAATAAATAAATGTTTATCCCTCTACGGCCAATGCAGGAGTAGAGATTGTACATACTTCTTTTGTACACAAAGGTCTGGCTTAAAGTTATGAATTGCCAAAGCCTCCGCTGTGTTTAGAAGTCGGTAACGAAGAAAAACACGGCCGGCAAGTTAGCATGGATTCAGTAGATTATTATCTTAAAATCATGATCAGGATTGGCAGAGTGACAGAAGTCGATCAGGTGTTCTTGAATAGACCTTCTCACACACACTTCCTTTCTCCTTTGTAAAACCATGCTGCTGGAATGTGTTCTCGTATCCATCTGTGGAAAACGTCCTTTTACTACGGGCAATGTACCTTGTTCTACAAGAGCAGGTGAACTGGTAGATGCACATGGAGGCGGCCAGACACGGTAGCTTATCGCTTACAGAGGTAGAGAACAACTTGCGGCTGATGAACGTCATTTGTAATTTTCCTGCAAACAACGCCTTACATTGACTGATTTAGAGAGATGATTTTTGAGCATATCTGAAAGAAGCTTGATGATCACCTTTGAATTCCAAGTTCATGAATAAGGGTGTTTTCTTTGCAACTGAGAGTCGGTAACTAGACTCAGTTGACTGCTTATGTTGCTGTCAATAAATCGGTTAAGGTAACCATTTTTTTCGAGTGTGGCTTTCTTAAGAAGTCAAGTTCTGAGTCAATGCAATCAGAAATACAAAATGTTCCTTACCACTAAACCAGAGCAAAAGAATAAGGTTTCTTTTTCCTGGAAATAGGCACCCAACTGTAAAAATTAGTTAGTTGTCCGTCCGTTCCATGTACGTTTCCGGTGGATAGATATACGATTGGTACAGCTTGATAGTAAATTCGATGTTGAAAACAGTCTCTTCACTGAATATTGTTTTTTTTTATACAGTCCAACTCTAAAGCGTGTAATTCATTATTGTTCTCAGCAAACTGACTCACATGAAACATGACTACATTTCATAGCATAAAGTGAAACAGAAAAACGACAACCTATAAACATGTCACAACAAAATTTACTATTTGTGTTTGTGTTTGGGGGGGTGAGGTATATAGGTAGGTAGGTACTGTACATTACAACAACTGGGTCGTCGTCAGTTGTCTAGACAAAAGGCTGAATAACTCATGTAACCTAGATTGACACACACGCACAGTTTAACATAAAACAATGATTTTCGTCTTTGTGACACAAACACACACGCCCACACACATTACATTTCATCACGTCAAAATGTTCAATGGTGTATGAGAAGTATGACAAGAATATACATTTAATCAGCCTAACTGCAATCACAGACACGATGTCTATTGTTTACCCTAATCTAGAGTATGCTTGACCCAGACAAATGTATATATATATGTATGTATACTGGTCAAACAAAGAGAACGGTATTCAATTGACATTCTTCTTCTTTTTCTACCTCTTCCTCCTCGTCATCATGTTTTCTCTTGCTTTAATGTAAGAGCACAGACAATCAACTTTCACATTTTTTAAAAGTTTTTTGCATAAATTTTCTGTCGTTTGATCGATGAAGATCAAATCACGTTACACACAGTAGTGCGGTGATTTAAAAAGCGGATTGTCCTTCGGTGATGTCCGCTCATGCAAATGATAATAGATTTATTCCAAAACAGTACTTGCAATACAGAATGGAATTCTCAACATTTTACTACATACAGTATTGCATCCAGTAGTTAGTAAATTAACAATAAAATCAAAATTCTACATAGATTAAGGGTAGTCTCAGTTACTTTTGACAACAACGCACTAGCATATTGGTAGCAAAGCCAAAATTAAACAGAGTGTTTGAAGGTGCTAGAAAAGTAGGTGCTAGCATATTTACTGGCGTAAGCAGAAGAAAGAAACAAAGCTACACATAACAGAAAAGAGAGAGAGAAAAGGAAAAGAAAGAAAGAAAACGTTGTACCTATAAATGATGATGTGACTTGGAAAGACGAGATCCAATTGTTCTACTGACTATTTAATAAGTTATAGGTATCACGCCTAATGCTTTCCTTATCGCACAGAACACGAGCCAACCAAGTAGGGTATGGTTGAGTTTTTGTACTTACTAGTGCGGGCATATAGTTTTCTACATAGGCTTCTGGTTTTGTCTGATGAGATAGATACAAGGGGAGAGTTGTGAATGAAGAGGGTGATGTGAGTTAGATAGACAGAATGGATTTAGCCCATTTTTCAGATGAGTCCAAGTGCCTGTCAATCAGAATATTAACAA